GGAATCAAACCAAGAAAAAATAATTTTCACTGTAACAGAGAAAAAAATCCAGACTTTGACACCAGTATCCATAAAACTGCTCTCAGGATTGGTTTTGGGTGGTGCATAGCTTGGCTAATTCAACAGGAAATTAAATGACTACTGACATGACATGACTTTTCTTTCTGCTCTAAATTGCTCATTTTATTAAGGGAACTGACCGTGCTCACACTACACACAGATTTAGGTGGTGAAAAACCCCCACAGAAATGGAAAATTTTCTTTGAGCATTCATATTGTAGCTATTTAGGGATTTCTTCAAGTCCTACACAAAAGCATTACTTTTATTTGCCCTACAGTTATTCTTACTATATGTTAAATGCATTTTCTTCCTTCTGGTAGTAGCCAGAAGAGAGATGTGTGGACCTTACTATTAACAGTATAATGGTGGATCTAAAAAAGAAAATTAGGTTAAATCTCCTGCCTGAAAAGACCACTGTCATTAATGTTGAAGATCAAAAATCTCTAGAAGTTAGTGGCAAGAACTGTCTTCAGGAAATTGCAATTTATCATCATTGAAATAGATGGTGATACCACGTTTAGACAAAGTATTAAAAAATACAGCAGGTATGGCAAAGGTTCCTCCAATAACCTAAGATGATGTTTCCTATTTTTAAATCTGGTTATAATATTGCAATAGTAATGGCAGTTTATGGCTGAGAGCAACCTATCCATACCAGAACATAGATCTGTCTGCTGCCTTTGAAGAGGTTCAAATGAAGTGTTCGTTGTGACTGCAATGTCTAGTGAGCAGGTAGGAGTGGAACTGGTTTGAATAAAACTTTTCAAAGCCTTCGGGAGTCCCAGATAATTCTAATTTGAATGTTCTCCCAGCTCCAGTACAGGCTTCTCTGTTTATTTAATGTTACTTACTATTTTGTGGAATGTATATCTACCGGCATATATATATATACACACGCACACACAAACGTGTATTTATACATATGTGTATGTATCCACATACGTACAGATGTACACATGCCTACATATTTCTCTGCATGTCTATGTCTATGCATATTTATGTATAAAATGGACCTGTTTAATTTCTGTTACAAATAGATATCTGCTAGCTGGAGATCCATGGATAAAGAAAATACTTTGTTGGAGAGAGGATGTGCGCAAAATTGCTTACTTCGAATTGCAGCTTCTGTAATCTATACTTCTCGTCCCTTATGTAAAAATCTGTGGTGGATCGTAGGGGATTTTTCCCCCATTTCTCATACTAAATGCTTAAATCAATAGGAGATGGAGTATATCTGCTTTCCCTGTCTGGGCCTTAGCTGCCTCAGAATTGTCTTGTTGTAATGCTCTTTGTTGAGGGACACTGAGGGGACCGTCCTAAACTGGTAGTTTACAGGTAGTGTAGAATACAGAAGCTTTTTTATTAAGTGCCTAGCTGTATTGGGGACTCTAGTGTCAGCGCTCAATTACATCAGCTGTTCAGGGAATTGTTTTGGTAATTCAAGGTTTTGGTTTATTTTGACTTTCAGCTATTCAAATTGCATCTCTTCACACTGTAGTTTCCGGGAAATGCAGTCAGTAGCAGAATATGAACTGAAGCTCAGACAGTACAAAAGAGAGCAATCATGGAGACAGCCACGATATCAGTGAAAAAATCTGAGCCTCTGGTAGCCTCACGCCATGCCAAGGGTGCGTGTTTCCATGCCCCTTCATTTGATGCAGGCTGCAAGAGGTTGAGGGTGGGGAGGTGCTAAAGATGTATACTTCTCTTCTCTGGAAAACCCTGGCTCCCTGTATAACTGGTATGTGGGATCAAAGGGTCGCAGAGAAGCTGTACTACTGTGTGAGGCGCGTGGAGAATCCCTGCATGGCAGTTCTGGAATGAGCCAGGAGCTATTCAGCTATTTCCGTGAGAATGGTGAGGAAGGGGGAGAGGGCTGAAAACTCTTACATGCCTCTGGCAAATACAGGAAGCTGCCATCGGAATAGTCTTTAGAAATACGATCAGTATTAATTTCTCAATGGTGGGAAAAGAGAAGGGAAGTTGAAGATTAATTACCTGTCCATGGATGGTCGGGTTCAGTTTTTAGCAGTTAAATAATCAAATGCTTATTGCTGTGTTTAAAGTGTTGGAAAGCCTACCCATATCATGATATGGGTGCGTGAAATATATGTATGCTCAAAGGATGTCAAACCTCATCAAACCTGAGTGTACACCCAGACAGGATGTCTTAGCAGAATGAGTCCATTACAAGAAAATCAGTTCATCTTCGCAAAGGACATTTTTAAAAGTCTGTATTTTGGTTTGTAGAACATGCAGCATTTCTTTGTCTATATAAACTTCCTAATTTTTAAGTAGCTTGGGATTTCACAATTGCAGGAAAAAGATAATTATGAATAATAATTAAAGCTTATATCAAGCTAGTACATGATTTGCAAAGTTGTTATGTTGCAGATGAATTGAGATGCCTACAAAGGGAATGACAGTTAAAGTTTGCCTTTGTGTTGTACTGAATCTGAATGTAAGAGTTTAGGGACATAAATATTCTATATTATCCTTTTTAGTGTTCCAGTATGCAAATATGAGTTATGTATTAAGTGTTTTGTTTTGTTTTTCCCAATAAATGTAGGACCTGGACATAGCAATTTTTTTTTTTTTTTTTTTTTTTAAACTAGGAACACATGTATTTTCTATTATTTGCTGATAAAGGAGAGAGAGAAGTAATTCTTTGTCAAAAGATCTCCCCTGATATTGTACTTATTGCAGCCTTGAAACACATTCTGTCTGTCCACTCTTTGATATGAGATAATGTTGAAAATGTAATTGAAATCAAATAACAAAATCACAAATGGCAATGATTTCTCAAATTATTTTTTTGCTGTCTTTTTTTTTTCTTTTTTTTTTTCTTTTTTCCCCTCAACCCTTATTAAATACTGCACAGGAGGCCTTCAAATCTAATGGTGTGTGATAGAGTATTGATATGACTGATATTGCCTGACTGGCTTGAAGTGTAGATGAGAAATAGCTTTTTAAAGTGTTTGGAAGCAAGATTTTTCTTATATTTGAGAGCTTAGAATTTCTACAAGGTGACACCCTGCTGGGCATATCTTTATTTAAATGACGTATGCCCTGAGCGAAAGTGGTGATGTAAATTTGAGATACCTCACACACAGTTTATGCAATTATAGACAAATGTATGCACTTTAAAAGCGTATTTTGGCTTGCACGATCATTTAGTTATCAGATTCTCCAATGAAATGCTGCCATGACTTATTCTGGTGTTTTCAGTGGCATTTAGAAAATTAAAAAATGGTGGTATTTATTGGTGGTTTCTGGTTTTTTTTTTTTTTTTTTTTTTTTTTTTTTCTTCATTCGTATCTGTCTGTCTGGTTAGATTTATTCTGTGTGAGACAGCCTAAATGTCTTATCAGGTGTGACAGGCTCTCTGAAACTCCTTGATTTTCTTTTGTCTGCCTTTTCCTCTCAAACTGCAATCACAATGATTTAAGGAGTAAGATTTCATTTTAGATGGCTTGTTTTTGTTACAGGTGGTGGTGTGGAGTTCACAAGTATAGTTAGAGCAACTGTAAGGTGAACATTGTGCCTTTAATCTGTATTATCTATGGTGGAGTTTGAATTGTGTTGTTGATATCGAAGGCTTTAAAATCTTTTGCTTATGTGAAACAAAAGCTTGCAGGATTAGTGAGTGTGTCAGAGCAAAATTTGGAAATAAGAATATGGATCTGTTTTTATCACTGCTTTATTTGATATTCTTATACTGAGAAAAGAAAAAAAATGTTGGTAACTTGTGTATTTTGCAAACTGTCAAAATAGTGTCAGTAAATACTGCAGCTTGGAAGGACTTAAGAATTCTTTATTGTTCATTGAAACAAAGTGGGACTTTGTTTCTAATACACAAAGTCCTTGTTCTGGGACAAATTTAGGACTATTTCTTCATCGTGTTTAGAATAATATAAAACACGGATGTTTTGAAAAGATTCAGAGGAAGGAAACTGCCATTGTCTCCACACCCTGTCCAGACATCATTGGGATCAATAATTTCTCTTAATTCCAGTACTAAATTGGAAATCAATACATTGCCTCGTTTTAGAGGAGAAGGACATGGGACAAAAGAAAGGCCTTTGCAGTATGAAGTCAAAACACTGTTGAATTTGCTGATGTATTCGAAAACTATCACCAATAATTTAAAGTCTAATTTATATTTTTCATTGAAAATAAATGAAATTCTTTAAGGGAATGCCAAAGTAAACACAATGGATAGACTGCAGATTCCTGTACTAAAGCAAAATGCAACTTGATTTTTTTTTCCTTATATGCCGTTTTATTGACCTAGTAAGCAAAATATTATGAAAGGGAAGGTTTGAGATTTTCTGCAAAGTAGATTAAACAGCAAGATGAGGTTAATTAATTGTTCCTGCTAATATTCAAATGTTGTATACTCATTTAAAAGTGCAATTAGTTCTCTTGGGAGTTTGCTCACAACTCTGGGATTTAACTAAAAATAATAATGTTCTTGTTAGCATGCAATAAATTCTGAGAAGATTTAGTTTTGATGTAGTAAGCACAAAGATGAGAACAGTTTCAAACAAAGCCTTTCATTATATAAACTGTTTGCAACTTTTCCTTCAACTCACTGTTCTCAGGGCTAAGCATCCTTTATAAATGACACTTGAG